TTTTTAAAGGCAAATATAATGGGGAAAAATCATTTTGCGTTCCCAGGATGGGGAAACAGCTTAGGATCTCTGTTTAACTGTTGTTCTAGTGTATTAAGATTATGCCCCTATTTCAAGAACTGCAGGACATTTTTGGTTCCTGTTATAACCAAAGACAAGTCAGCTGACCAGTTTGGGGAGGAACCTAAGGAGTCGTCCTATGATGACTTGATGGTTGGTCATCGTCTAGAATTTGTTATCTACTTGGTGCCGGCTAAAGATACTGGCTCCAAATCTGGGGAGTCTCTTTGAAATCCTTTCTGTATTTTTATTTTTTGTTGTTGTTCAGATTTATGTATTCATTTATTTTGCATTCTGAAGTCATGAATACTCAGAACCAGAGGAACAGATAGTCCTTTGCTTCCAAGTGGTCTCAGTGTGACATTCAGAGCAAGGAAGGAGGCTCTACAGCAACATCGTGCTGTCCACTCAGCCTCTTCTTCACAGAGCCATTTGGAGCCCTGCCTAGAAGCGCACTGGTTAGTAAGAATGAGGAAGCTGTTGGATCAGCCCGCCCAGCACCCCTTTCTACCCAGGACACCTTGAATTCTGTGGCTCCCAGTCAGAAGCATCTGCCTAGGACAGCAGGGAGCTCTGAGCAAGGCCCCCAGGACCAGAGCTGCATGGGAGCCGGGTGCCATGTGTAGCCCCTCCTGGGATAGTGGAGAGCCCAGCCTCTGGTCCAGAGAGGCCCTGCAGCCCCGCTGGGAGGGTCAGTGAGGTCACCCCCAAAGCTCGTGATAGGACCATAAGACGTTGGCACACCGCGCTACAGGCAGAGCAGGCCAAGAAGTGTCGTGTCTTGACATGGGTGCGCCTATCTGCCTGTCCCCGGGCCCACCTGGATCTCCCCAATCTGAAACTCAGCAAAGTGACCAGGATTACACAATGGAAGATTGCAGAGACCAAGGGAAAACACAATAGTGGCTCCACAGTGAGCCACTCTTCCTGCAGAGGCTGCCAGTCTGAGATGCCACCTGTGGGCCACACCAGTGCACACAGAGACAGAGTAGGGCAGATGTGGGCACTGTCACTCTGCTGTGGCTCTGGCTGAACTTCAGAGTGAGTGAGAGCCTTGAACAAAGCCATGGCCCAAGCCTGCAGTTTCCCTAAAAAGCCAGTGACCCTGCCTTGAGGTTCAGGGTGCACCCCTTCCATAGGAACCTGGATTTCTCCCCTCCAACCACCAACCTGCTACCCAGTACAGAGCGCTGGAAAGACCATGGGCCTGAAGGAGCCCAGAGACTTTGCCACCACTGTCGCTGGTGTTAATCACAACACCTCACGCAGCTTGGCTCGGTGATGGTGAGCTGTAAGTGGCACCACGTAGAGGCTATCTGCTGGTGGTGTTCGTCAGTCCCAAAGGTCTAGTGGCCCACAGTGTGGCCTGCTGTGGAAAGTCACCTGGCTGTCTTATACCTGTAGAGCTGAGCTCCCTAATGGAGATTTAGGTGACAGTTGTGAGACTGGAATGGTGCCACAGTGAAAGGCTGTGTGTGGCCCAGAGGTGGCACCATGATTCTCAGAGTGGACACAGTGGGCAAAGCATTGGGCTTCCTAAGGGATGGGCACTGAAGATAAGGGGTAAGAGCATTGGGCATGGACCCACCCTGTATGCTTCCCCAGTGGGCTACATCTGTCCCAGGCCAGATGAGCTTGCAAAATGAGCACCTTTTATGCACAATCCACAGAGCACTGGAAAAGAAGCAAGATTTACTGTATGATTGATTGATTTGGCTTTTAGAGATAGGGGCTCACCATTCATTTCAGGCTGAGCTCACTAGGGAGCCCACATTGGCCTCGAACTCAGAGTGTTCTTCCTGCCTCTGCCTCCAAGTGCTGGGATTACTTGGATGCATGACCACGCCTTGTAAGGGGATGAAATTTTGTTAATTTCACTTACAAAGATTCACCTGGGCAGTATGCGACCTGCTGGAAAGCGCTCCCCTGCGGTCAGACATCCCACCCACCTGGATTTGCCGTCAGCTGCATCACTCCCAGCAGCTCATGACAGGGCCTGAGCCCCTGGTATTAACTGTGAGCAACACTTGGAGGTAAAGACCAGGCTCCTGTTGAGAGCATTTGGGGAAACAGAAGACCACGAGTGGATAGAAAGGGGTCAGGCTTCGGAAGCCAAACCAGGATCCCTCAGGCTTTTCCATGGTGTGGTTCATGGGTTCTGGAGCTCAACTTGACCTCGCTCCTGCTCCCAGGATGTGATTCCACACCAAGAAAGAGCCAATACAGCTTAGCCGCTGGGTGGGTGTGATCTAACAGTACTGTTCAAATGGGGGAGAGGCTGGGCGTCATCCCAGCACTTGGGAGGCTGAGGCAGGAGGATCGCTGTGAGTTCAAGGCCAGCCTGGGCTACATAGTGATGCCTATGTCTCAAAATCCCAATTAAAAAAAAAAAAAAAAGAGGAGAAGGACTCTGGTTTCCTTTAATGTTCCCTGGACATATTCAACAGCTGTGTGATAGGGAATGGAAAATTCCTATCTGACAGTCAGCCGCAGTCAATATATTTGCTGGAGACATAGCTGCAGTGAGAGGCTTAACATGATTGTGAGAAAAGGAGTGTTGGATAGGAAAATAAAAACAAAAGGGCCCAGTTCAATGCCCCAGTACTGCTAAAATAAATAAATGGTTTTTCAAAAAAGGCCAACTAGGATATCAACCATAGAATGGAACATTATGCAACCAAAAACATTTTTCCTGAGAACATTCTACATTGATCTAGAATGTTTTCCAGAATATATTAAGTGAAAAGTCAAGTGGAGAAGGTTTTTTTTTTTGGGGGGGGGGGCGGGGATAGGCTGGCTCAGGCTGCCTTAAGGTCTGGTAAAGCATGGGGAACTGGGGATTGAATCACGGTCCCCTGTGCCTGACTGGGTTTGCCCCAGCAGGTGCTTAAACAACTGAGCTAACCCGCAAGCCGCCCCCAAAAAACCAAATGGAAGAAGAGTATATTTCAGTGGTACATCCTGAACATATACACGTGTAATAAAGGCATTTTATTTTTGTCTAAGAAATGGCTGTCCTGCGGCTGCACAGGCTTGGCTGGCTGGAAGTCATCTTTTGTGCATGTGGAAACTTTTTATAAGGCTCCTCACAGAGGCTGAGGGAAAGGAGTAGTGAAGTAGATGCAGAGACCAGAGTGAAAATGCACCAAAATGCCTTTTAATACTTTATAATTTTATTTATTTTCATGTATTTTGTACGGGGTCTCATTGTACATCTCAGACTCTTAGTAATCCTCCTGTTTTCAGCCTCCCAAGAGCTAGGATTACAGGTGAGTGCCACCATGGCCAGTCTCAATTGCCATCTCAGCGTGCCTGGGGATCAGACCCCGGCCCCTGTGCCTGCTTTCAGGCACTTTAATCTGCGGAGCTATTTGACCGGACCTTAATTTTTTTTTGTGTGGAACCTTAATTATTAATTTTTTATTTAATTTTCTAAATAAATTTTCCCTATATGGGCCCAGGGAGATAGCTCGGTAGAATAAGCACTTGCTTGGCAAACGCTGGGTCCTGAGTTCAATCCCCGGTACCAAAAATAAAATTTGCCCTAAATGCCATGGATCACTCTGTCAGGAAAATGGAACAGCTAGTTCAAAAATTGATAAAACGCCTCACTAGCCACTTGTCTCCACCACTAGAGGATGAAGTTTGCTTGAAGCCAGCTTTTCTATCCACACAGTTTGTGCACCAAGAAGAGTGGGCATTACGGTGTTGTAACTGTATTAATTATTACTCTATTAATTACAAAAAGCATAGACTCTGGAGATGGAGAGAGAGCTCAGGTTTCAGTCTGTACTCTGCGTGACCTTCAGCAGCTTAGCTTCTGGAATTCTGTTGCTTTGTAAAAAGGTTTCCCGTGTGGACATATGGAGCAGTTCGTGCCTCCCAGAGCTGGTCGGAAGTCTGAGGGTGCATGACCATTGGCAGGGCTGTTGCTGTCTAATACTGTGACTTCTCCTTCAGGGTGACGACCCGATGAACGTATGCACAGAGGAACCCCTGGGAGGTGAGTCCCTTGGCTGGTCAGACTGTGGAGGCCGTGACAGGGCCCTGAGCGGGCTTCTTTATGACAGATCCACGAAGAGACAATGCAACTCCAGCAATGTGTGGTTGTCCCTTAGCCCAGGAATAAGATTAGGAGTGGAATGGTGTGGGTCTCTTCCTTCTGCACCCAGGGACAGAACCAAGGGCTCCGTCACCAAAAGATGCGTTTCTTAGTGTGCAGGTAAGATGACTCTCAAGACGCTGCATGAAAAGGGAATGTGATATTCGAGATGTCTGGGGAAAGCTTTACTTTATATGCTCATTGGGAGATTCACATAATCCCAGTGAGGCAAGGTCCCCTCAAGTCCTCCAGTACAAAGAACTGTCTGACATTAGGTCAACATGCTTCAAACTGAATTGGAATACAAAACTCTTCTTCCCACATGGTAGCTACCACTCAGCCACATGCCACAGGGACCCATCCAACACTGCACTGCCTTGTAGCTTTTGTCATGTTAAGTGACAGAAATAAAAATCTACTCCTAACTACCTAGACCTATAAATAAAAATAGATAAAATGATGTGAATTTAGGACTGGTCAGAAAAGATGAGGTTCATGTAAGCCCTAGAAAAAACATCTCTGCCATTTCCATTTTGTAAAACAGGTTGTTATCTTTATGGTCCATGGAACTCTGTTTATAGCACTGACCATGAACATGGGAAAATTGTAATTAAGCTCTTTAAATAATGCCAGCTCCAGTCCTGCATAAATCCATAGACATGAGGTGGTAGAATGAAGTATCATTTGATGATAATGACACTAGAAGACTGGTGACTATATGAAAATCATAGTCACCAAATGACATAATGGTGACTCATGGAGAAAAGCACATAAACACAAGCCATAACTTAGCTGCCACCTAGGAAAGTGCACATAATCTGTTTCGTCTCAACAGGACATGGAATGATTGATTGTTTAATACAGTTTCTTTTTTCCTGGTTATAAACTTAACACACACTGTGGACTTTTTTGAGATGAAAAATACAAGCCATCTAAAACCTTACAACCTATAAATAATTGTAGATAATATTCCAGTGTAGGGGGCCTTCCCCTTAGCTCAGTTCTTTACGTGGCTGCTTCAACAAAGCAGTCAGGTTCAGGTTGCTGTGGTTCGATCCCCAGAACTCAAGCCAGCCAAACCTGCCCTGAAGGCATTCTGAGCCAGCCCTCCCCCCCAAAAAAAAAATCCTTCCAGTATATTTCATTTTAGGGTATTGTCTATATACCTAGTTTTATAGTTGAGAAAGTATGGGGGCCGGGGAGATGGCTCAGTGGAATAAGCACTTCCCTGGCAAGTGCAGGGGCCTGACTTCAATCCCCAGTTCCACCAAAAAAAAAAAAAAAAAAAAGAGAGAATGCATGCATATGCAAATGTCTCCAATATGTGTATATATCATAAGTATGCTCCTCTGTCACCAAAACTGCTATGAAATATTCTGTGATAATGACCTTGATAAATGTACCATCACTAACTAAAAAATAACTATTTTTAAAAACTGGAATAAAATATAATCAGACCAAAATGCATGCACTCCCACATTGATCACCATGGCCACTTCCAGGTTGCAAATAGAGTCAGAGTTGCTCAGCCTCATGAGACAGGTACCCGATCCTACACGTTAGGGACATTAATGGATCTGTTTCTAACAGAGAACTGCAGACAACATAAGATTTTTCCACTCACTGTGAGCTACTCTGTAAAGAGACGAGCGAGAACCCCGCCTCCAACACACCGCAGAACTGGCCCTTCTGTTCGCTTCCTAATGGATTCCAGCAAATGTGTAGCATTTTGCATGTAAAAGCACTGCACCCAGCACTCTGGGAAGCTGAGGCAGAAGGATCGCAAGTTCAAGCCCAGCCTGGGCTGCTGAGCAACTTGGCATGACTTTGCCCCCCCCCCAAACAAAAGAGAATGTAAAGACGGAGGCATGCAGCAGGTGTTCCTGAGTGCTATTCCCAGTACTACTCCCTGCGAAAGAGTAAGTTCTGTAACTCTCAGAACAACGCTCGTTCACAATTAATCATCTACATAAACATGAAGTATAAGCCCAGTGCTGTTGTTTTAAGTGTACACATTGCAATTTTATCAGCATGATGAAAATGTGAAGCCTTCAATTCTCCCAAGTGGTCATAACCATCATTTTAGTCAGCTCGCACCCAGAGGAATGGCGAGAGCAGCCCCGACCAGAGCTGGACTGAGCACCTGGGTTCTCCTCAGCTGTCTATTTTGGTTGGTTGGTTGGTTGTTTTGAGAAAAGGTCTGGCTGTGTAGCCCAGTCTGGTCTTGAGCTCTGAGGAGTCCTCCTGCCTCAGCCTCCCTAGTTCTGGGAGTAGAGGCATGACTGCCATGCCCGGCTCCGCAGTTCTTTCAGTTTGAAAAGCACCTCCCTTAGCACCAGAATTCACAAAGAGAATAAATTACCCAACATTCCCCACAGTTCCTCTCTGGCACACTCCTCTGACTCAGCTGAGTGTCCGGCCCCAGGCCTCCCACTGGGACAGCCCGGTGCTCTCAGAACCTCGCATGAAGGGGTCACTCTTGCCAACCACACCCGTTCCACTAACACCCATGCCCTTCACGCTGGCATTCGGCCTGGCTCCACTGTGCACACTGGAGTGTCATTTTGGAAGCCCTGCGGTTCTTTATGGACCCTGCCTGCCTCACCGCCACCAAAAGCTGGGCCGAGCTGACCCCCAAATTAGCCGGGGTGAGGACAGACTCACACTTGGGGGGACCTTGGCATTGAGCACCCCAATCGCTGCAGATGCCCCGGCGTGGGAGCCTCCCATCCGTGGGGCTTGGCTGATCCCCTCTCCAGGTGGCCAAAGCCTGCACTGGGGTCCCTGAGGCTCTGCCACCCAGTCTCTGTCCCTGGGCCTGCGCCTTTCCTGGTTTCATTGATACTACTGAAACACACATCATTTACTTGCTATTTCTCTGCAAATCGGCTCATTATTGTAGCTCAGTACATTTATTTCATATCCTGACTTTAAGTGGAAAAAGTGCATTATTTGCTGAAAATAGGAACTAGTTTTTCAAAGCCTTGTCTTCTAGATGTTCTTATATATTAACTCTATTAAAAAGGAGATCGGCAAATATGAAAGTACACCAAACTTTTCATCCTATTTAATAAAATCATTCTTACCACATAAGATTGAAAGCGCATGTTAAAATGAAAATACATTGCCTGTGTCTGAGAATAGGGCTAATTGTAGCCTTAAACCTATTTGCTCAAATTCAGGCTTCTTACCAAACAAAACTACCAGACCAGGGTTCTCATAACATGAATAAAATCAGGACTTGAAAGCAATATTTTATTTACCAATAAATTATTCCTATCTTAAAGGTCTCATGGAAGATTTGAGGAAATGTAAGATTATTTTCATAATGGGTGAGTAACAGCCTTTCTATCTTCTAATACACTTGCTGTTCATAGCGGCTTAGCTGGAAGGCGCTCTTCACTTCTCACCCTGCTTTGCAGTTATGTTGGGTTTTTTGTTTGTTTCTTTGGCCAAAATAATATCCTCTAGGTTTCCCGATTCTCACCTGCACTTATTGAAGTTCTGTCCTGCCTTTGGTCTTGGACTTCCCAGCAGGACCCCGTGTGTGGCCCATCACTTCCAGGAACCCCAGAATCCACGTCAGGGGAGCCCCATAGGCACGCAGCGGTAGCAGCAGCTTAGCATCTGCTGTAGCTCTGTAGTAACAAAGCCCATCACACAGGGCAGGGGGCGGCTGTGTGCTCAGGCCTAACACACGCCCTTCTTGCTTGGGTGCCCGCCCTCTCCTGCCTAAGCTCGGCGCGTCCCACATAGCCTGCAGAGCTGTGCTCCGCACGCAGCCTGGGCGCTGACGGTGAGCGGCCTCACTGCACGAGATACAGCTCAGTGCTGGCTCCCTGAGCCATGGCCGAGACCCAGTCGATGTGGAGTGGAAGAGGGAACCCAGTTTGTTCTGTGCCACAATACGTGAAACCCGCTGAGGGGCTGGGGAGATGACTCAGTGGAAGAAGTGCTTCCCTGGCAAGCGCAAGGGCCTGAGTTCAATCCCTGGTTCCACCAAAAAAAAAAAAAAAAAAAAAAAAAACGCTGACTGCGCTTGCGTGAACCTGCCAGGTCCTGCTTACTGTGCGCATTTGCGGGGCGTGCTGGTCGCACTCCCCGCAGGAAGCCTGCATGCACACAGCGTGGCGGCTCGATGCTTGTTTCTTCCCCTTCTGCTTTCCTCCCTCCACCTCATGGTTCCCTTTGCCTTTGCAGAAAATTTCTGTTTCCTATCACCTTATTTTGTTCTGTTTGTACCTCGAGCTTCTCATGTACCTGTGTGACATGTAGCTTGTGCATCTAGCGCCGCGTAATGTGACGGTCTCGAGGCACAGCCACCAGGTTTCTACACATGGCCTAGACGTGTGGCGCAGTATTCTCCGCTGTGGACAAATGCCGCGTTTTCTTTATCCACTGGCCTGTTGGTGGGATACAGGCTGCTTTGAAGGTTTAGCTGTTCGATTTGTGCTGCTACAACACGGGTGTGGAGGGGGGCACTGTAATCAGATTTTCACTCATTTAGTCCTAGTTAGATTATGGAGACTCGGTTACCTTAAGGAATTTACCTAAAATCACGTAGCTAATGAATGTGAAAATGGATTTCCAGTTTCCCCATGAAAGTGACTGTTCAGCACTGTCATCAAAACCCCAGGCATGCCGTACCGGCCACTGAAACCAGGTGTGGTGGCGCACATTTGTAATCTCAGCTCTGGGGAGGCTCTGTACCAAAAAATAATTAAAAAAAAAAATCTACCCCTACTTGTACATTTCCAGACAGTGTCTGCTTGTACTGGGAAACAATGAAAAGATCCACACCTGTTTGGGGCTTGGGCAAAGAAAGGGCATCAGTGGTCTGGAGACAGAACAGATCAGCTGGGGCCTCGTGTGCAGACTGCACAGGACGCTGTGTGACCCTCGCCATCAAAACTGCCTGACAGGCGCCAGGCTCCCAGGCGGGAGGTGGTGTGTGCACTCTGGCCTGGTAAGGTGCCTCGCTGCACCAGGCAGTCTGGGGGTTGAGGGCACTGTGGCGCTCTCCAGAGCAGCTGGCCTTGTGCAGAGCTGGCCTCAGATCTATGGGAGAGATGGGGTTGGCTTCCAGACCAGAATAGTGAGGCTGCCCACGGCCATGGAGACCTGGCTGCCTCAGCCTCCAGGGCCCAGCTGTGCGCGGGTCACTCCCTCCCACGGGTCTGCATCGCTCATCCAGATGCCCTAGGGTGACAAGAAAAGAATATGTGTGGTGAAATGAATTCTTTAGGAAGCAGTGTGGGCTGTCTCCACACAGCAATCAACAGCAGTCAGAATTCCCAGCCTGGCTCTGGCGGGCAGTTGGTGGAGCCGACAGAGGATTGCAGGTTAAGGATGAGCCGACCACCTTCTTCCGGCTGAGCAGCTATGAATGGGGTCCTTAATCAGGAAAGAGCAGCTCAGTCCTTAGGGAAGAATACCCTTCACAGGACAGAAGGACAGAGATCCCAAGGGTGGGGCCATTGGCCACAGGCACTGGAAAGGCTTCTGTGAGCTTTGGTTGTTGAGAACCTGCGGCAGGAACCAAGACTGGGACTCAGCTGCTGCTGAAGTCAGAGGGTACTTAGAAAATGTAAAAATATACTTTAAGAAGCTGGGTGTCATGGCTCACATCCATCAGCCCAGTACCCAGCAGGCTGAGGCAGGAGGATCTCCATGAGTTTGAGGCCAGCCAGGGCTACACAGTGATACAAGACCAGACTGGTCTACATAGCAAAACCTCATCTCAAAAAAGAAAAAAGGAATATATATTCTTAAAAGAGCCTAACTGTGTGCCACGAAGCAGTGCCCCACCCTAAGCTTCTCGGATGCCCTCCCTGTCTATCCCTCCCTCCTTCCCTCGTGACCTAACCCAGTCTGTCTTGGCTTCCAGTTCTCCTTTCATTCCTCCACTGCCTTCTCACACCCTGGACACACCCTCACCTCAGTCTCCACATGATGCACAGCCACACCGGACTGCTCCAGGTGCAGGGTTGGCAGTGTCCAGTCCAGACACTGCACACTGCCCCAGCTGGCCATCTGGGGACACAGGCGGCCTCACAGACTGGCACTGGACTATGATAAACTGCTTCTGTGGGGCAAGTGTATTGAGCTCCCTGGACCAGATTTTGTGTTATTCTAGGTATTTTAACCCCTGAACAAATAGCCCTATTTATTTTCCTGGAGAAACACTCATTTGTGCTTAAAACTCAGTCTTTCTGCTCCTCACAGGATTTCACGGCAGCCTTCTGTCACTTCATCGCAGAGCCATTATAAAAGAAATACGAATTGATGTGCACAGGTTTCTACTTGCGGCTCAACATGAACACCTTTGATTTAATTACCTCGCAGATTTGGTTAAATTAATTCTGAAAGAATCCAGTTGCTCTAGCTCAGCGGAGCTCCCCGCACTGAAGCCGCATCCTCAGTGCGCGAAGCAGGGGGCACCAGGAAGCCCCTGTCTCTGGGCCAGCTCCACATCCGGGTCAGGACTTGCTAATAAGTGGCGCATCTGGGGCTTGAAGCATTTTAACATTGCCGAGCAAGGCTGCCAGCTGTTTTTTCTTGAGGTGACAAGCTTTATTTTAAAAAAATTCTCTGCCCCAGAAAAATAATAACTTGTGCAATAGATGTTCTTTCAGAAGTTAAAGTGGTATTTAATTTGAAAAGCAACTAGGTGGACTGGGGAGATAGTTCAGCAGCATAAGGGCCTGCCTGGCAAGTGCAAGGTCCCAAGTTCAATCCCTGGTACCACTTGCCAGCCCCAAAACTAGGCATGATGCTACATACCTGTAATCCCAGCACTGGGGAGTCTGAGACAGGAGGATCACTATGAGTCCAAGCTGCATAGCAAGACTCTGAAGCAAAAACAGTAGCTAAAAACAGCTAGGTCAGTGTTCAGATAGTCCTGCAAGTTCCTTTACCCCGCAGCTCCAGCTTGGTTAGTTGGTTGCTTTGTTTTGTTTTGGTTTTTTGAGCAGAAATTTACATGTGTTTATTTTTTATTATTCAGGGATATAACCCATGCTAAGATACAAAGTTAAAAGAAAGAACCTAAACATACCACTGATCTGACTGATTTTTTTTAATGATCCCAATTCTTTTTTTTAAATTAAGCATCAAGAAAAAGAAAGCCAGAAGAAATAGCTTACTAGTTCCAAGTACAAATTATTTAAAATTATTCCTCAAAAGTATGTTTAATAACAACATGGCTTTAGTCCCCTTATTTTGAACAAATAGTCATATGAAATTCTAGTACACTGAAACCAACAAAGTTTCACTTTGGAAATTCAAGATAAATATTTACCCTTCACCTTTTTGAAACAGGGTCTCACTGTGTAGCCCAGGCTGTCCTCGAACTTACCTGCCTTAGCCTCCTAAGTGCTGGGATCACAGGCGTGCACCACCACTCAGCCCTCAATGTGCTCTTTTTTTTTTTTTTGTGGCCAGCTCAGCCCACCCTGGGGGTAGGGCTGGCACAGCATGGTGGCGCCAGGGATTGAACCATGGTCCCTATGTGTTGCCTAAGCTTTTCTAAGCAGGTGCTTTAGATGGGTGAGCTATCTCACTGGCCCAAGATGCTCTTAAGTAATGTGACTACTTCCTTCCTCCCGTTCTTCCCCCTCCTTTCTTCTTCCTTCTTTCCTTCCTTCCTTCCTTCCTTTCCTTCCTTCCTTCCTCTTTTTCTTTTTCCCTGAAAGAATGTTGTAGGGACAGCACAGTGCCAAATGCAGTTGGATGCTAGTGTTTTATTCACAATGTTAGAATGCCCGGTTCCTCTCCATGGAAAGCAAGTGAGTTCCTCCTATTAGAATGACCACAGGGCACCCATCTGTGTGGGGTGCACTGAGGGGTCCCGGGAGCTGACCGAGGTGCTGGGTCTGCTCTCCTGGGTCCTTGCTGGGAGAGTCCCGCCTGGCATCACAGGAGGATAGGCCCTGGCTGCCCTGCACAGTGGGGACCCTGGGCTGGTCAAGATCTCAGAGATCCACTGGCCACGTCCACTGCGAGCTTGGTGCAGATGTGGGCGTGGAGCTGGGGAAGGATCAGTGGCCACCTGTGGCTGGGCAGCAAGGGAGTGACCTAGTGTCATTGGAACTGGTGCCAGCCAGCACAGGGATAAAGGAAGGATAGGGTAGGGCAGAGCAGGGGCAGCAGGGTCCCGTCCCCCCCCCCTCCCCCCGCCGCCAAGCAAGCAAAGGAGGAGCAGTTCCTCCAGGCAGGGCGAGGTTGCAGAAAATGGAATGAGAATGGAAGCTGTTCACAGCTGTGATCCCAGCAGCCGAGACGCTGAGGCGGTAGGACTGCTGCTAGCTCAAGGCCAGCCTGGGCGACAGAGCCAGACTCTTATCTCAAAAGAAGAAAGAGCTAAGGCCCATACTGCTGGAAGCCACTGTGCTTTTGTTGTTTTTCTTTTCTTTCTTTCTTCTTTTCTTTTTCTTTTCTTTTTTTTCTTTGTCTTGAATGAAACAGTAACAAGCCAATGACTCAGAAGATGGAGCCTGTTTTTACCTTTAAAATATGGCAAATCAAACACATTAAGCCAGGCAAAGTGGTACACATGTGGGATCTAGCACTGTGGGAGGCTGAGGCAGGAGGGTCTAAAGTCAGCCTCAGCAGCGCAATTTAGCACCTTCCTGAGACCCAGTCTCCCAATAAAAATAAATCAATGCAAGGCTGGGGCCATCACTGCGGGGCAGGTCCTGGGCTCTGTCCCCGGACTGCAGAAATGACCCAGCCCTGGCTCTCTTCTTGTCCTGGAGCTAGGTGGGCATGGAGTGTGGAGGTGTCCCCTCCCCTGTGAGGCCTGTGCCTCAGCATGCTGGAGGAGGCGAGGAGAGCAGAGGCCCAGCCCCTGTGGGCTGCAACAGCTGTGTCCCCTTCTCAGGTTGCCCCAGGGTTGCTTCCTGGCATCATCACAGTCACCACCACCCCTTTCCCCAGTTTTGCTGCTCCGTGACGCTGCCGACCCCACCCCACCCCCTACGGCACTCAGGGCTTCACCCACCTCAGGGCAGCCCAGCACAGTGGAGCCCGGGTCTCCTGATGTCACCAGAACCAGACCCAGCACTGCCCAGGATGGCCTCACCGCCCTGACCCCCACCGAAGACAGCGCAAGGCCTGTGGACACCCCAGTCCTCAGAGGCCACAGCCTCTGAGGTGTGGGGGGACCAAGGACAGCAGGCAATCTCAGCCAGACCCAGGTGTCTCATCAGTCACCCTGCCCACAGGGCTGGTTCTCTTCTTTTTGAGTTTTCCAAACTATCTAAGGCTGCTCTAAGGACCATGCATCTTTTTTCACAGTGAGGAGAAAAGAATTTCTTTAAAGCACTTAAAGGCTGAGGCAGGGACATCGCTGTGAGTTGAGGGCCAACCTGGCCACACAACAAAATCCTGTCTCAACAAATTAAATACCCTGGCTCAAGTACAGCAGGTCTGCCCTGCTCCGAAGCCAAGGCCAGGAGGGCCACAGGGTCGACCTGCACACAGCAGTGTTTGGTCTCAGGCCACATCGCTGCGCAAACAGAACCCAGTGCCAGTCGCCCTTTTCTGGCCTGAGGTGGAGGCCAGGAAGCCCGGCTATCTGGGGCCATAAGGACCCAGTGCTAGGGATGGCACTGGCCTGGCATCCTGTGCAGGGGACACGGAGCAGTCAGCGCGGCCTCCAGTGGGGACTTTGGGCCAGTCCTATTCTCTGGCCCAGAGTTTGACCAGGCTGGCAGCGAGGAGCACATCCCGTCGCATCCCATCCCTTCTCCAGCAGAGGCTAAGGCAGGCACCAAATACCCTGGAGCCATGCCCCTGTCCCAGCAAAGCTCTGCCTCTCCCAGTGGCCAGGAGGCTGATGCAGGGCATGCCCGGTGACTGAGGGTTGTGAGGGAGGGCACAGCTGGCTAATAGCTTTTCTCTGAAAGGAACCAGGCAGTCATGGGCCTGAGCCAGCCGTGGGACCCGTTTCACCTAGAAGGAAGGTATGTCCAGGAGCAGAGAGGGGCTCGCTAGGCAGCCAGGCTGGCCTGGAACTCAGGCTGCTCCTCCCACGCCCCGCCATGCCCCGTGGGCTCTGGTCCCGCAGTGCTGGCCAAGAGCCCAGGAGTCGGGCGCTGCCCGCTGAGTCCCGGGCTGCGGCCCTCCCCATCCTCCTGCTTCTGCGTTCTCCTCCCTCTCTGAGCTGACTCCCTGTGTCTTCCTGTCCACTTTGTACTTGTGTTTTAAGTTATTTATTCTTGGAGCCTGAGAACTATTTATTCTCAGCGCCTGCCTGGCAAATACAAGGTCCTAAGTTGGATTCCCAGAACCAAACAAAATTGTTTGTTCTCGGTGTTTTTCATGGAAGAGAGGCTCTGTGCCATAGGTTTCTTCCCAAAGGCTGTGGACAGCGTGTTCCAACATGGACCACGCACACCTGGGGCACAGCAGCACAGCCTGGGCAGCGGCCTGCGTGGCCAGCAGCAGTGATGGACGGGCAGTCAGTGGCCAGCACACTGCAGAGCACTCCGCTGCCGTGAAGGACACCATGGAGGCATCCATAGGGCAAGGGCTGCGCTGTGAGGCCGTGACATTAACCAGATGCAGAGGAGTCATCTGTGAGGGGACCCAGCGGGCTGACTGTGCACAGAGGAGCTCTGTGGCTCAGCCCACCTCTGAGAAAGTCAGGCACCTGAGAACAGGCTGCTTCCCTCTGTCGCCAAGGGGAAGAGAGGCCGGGCTGGCCCAGAGCACCAGCCACGTCTCACCTTTGCCTTCACCTGGAAAACAGTTAGACCTACATTAGAGCCGGGCACAGGAGCCCTTGCCTGTGATCTACACACTCGGGAGGCTGAGGCGGGAGGATCGCTATGAGCTCAAGGCCAGCCTGGGCCACACATCAAGACCCCACCTCAAGAGCAAAACACAACAATTAGGTGTACGACTGAGGATACGATTCCAGCCCGCTCTCCCCTGAAGTGGTCACAGCCCCTTCAAAGGGCATTGTGGTCTAGACTGAGTGAGTATAGCCATGGTGGCAGGCACTTTACGGCCCCGTGCCGGCCACCAGTCAGTCCCTGCTCCCCCCACAGCTGTGCCATGACCAACTGGGTGTCATGTGAGTCTCCAGTCGAGACACCTGAAAGCAGGGAGGCCTGGCCCTATGGTCTCCGCTTTCCTTACACTCACAAGTTCCCAGGGCCAATGTTAGTGGCCTCCAGGGTGTCATCCTAGCCCTGGGGCAGGAGGGAGGAGTGGGGTGAGGGCTGCCCCTGCCTCTGCCTAAGTCTGGAGACATCTTCATCCCTCAGGCAGCCCAGCCATCCCAGACAGGAGGCCTTGGGGAAACTGAGGCACGGGATTTGTCACCTTTTCTCAGGGTCTCACTACTAGATCAGACTCATAGTGACCCGCCTGTTTACAGCCTCCCAAGAGCTGGGATTACAGGTATGTGCCACCACGCCCATTCTTAGTTGTCATCTCAGTGCACCCCAGGGGGCCTGACTGCTCCCTGGCCCCTGCACCTGCTTGCAGGCGCTTTAATCCACTGAGCTGTTTCGCTCTCTGTCATCTGCTCTCTGAAGTGGCCACAGTGTGTGTGTTGTGTTTCTGGTTGCATCCCATGCAGCCGCACACCTGGCAGAGCACACAGGTGGACAGCTGAGACGGGGGTGGCGGGGGCAGCCACCTGTAGGAGAAGTCCACCGAGCTGTGTGACGAGCCCAAGCGGGGAGGGCAGAGGTGCCAGGCTAAGAGACAGCGGTCAGATGGGGACAGGGCTGGAGGAGGGAACACAGGTGGTGTGTGGGTGCTTGCGCTGTAAAGCCTGAGGGGACCGGGCAGGGGAGCAGAGAAGCTTGGGCTCTGTACCCCGCCGACCTCCTAGGCACTGTTCTTACAGGAGGGGCTGGTTCCCAAGGGCTTACTGCACAGCCCAGGCTGGCCTTGCACCCCCAAGATCCTCCTGCTTCAGCCTCGTGAGTGCTGGGGTCTCACACACCAGCTCTTGTTGGTCAGAACTCTCAGCCCCTCCAGGATACTTAGTTCATGAGGAGCAGTACCCACCCTCCATGGCTAACGGCAGTCAGGGCGCTGGTGTCCCCTTCCAGCGGCTCCATCCAGATCACTACAATGCCCAGCTTCCCAGGGGACATGGTTGACCTGCCCTCTCTTGCAGGTGGCCCCGGCTCCGGCAAAGGCGCACAGTGCGAGAGACTGGCGGCCAAGTACGGCATGGCACACCTGTCACCCGGGCGGCTGCTGCGGGCTGAGCTGGGAGCGAACTCAGAGCGGAGCTGGCGGATCAGGGCCCACATGGAGCAGGGCGAGCAGGTGCCTGCGGTGAGCCAGGGCCTTGTAGGCTGGGGACAGCATGGGGCCTGCATCCTGCTTCCCTTTATTTTATGTTTGGCTTTTTGAAACAGGATCTTGCTACACTGCCCAGACTGGCATCAAACTCAAGGTGCCCTCCTACCTCAGCCTCCCCAATACAGTTATTACAGCTGTCCTTCTGTCCTCCTTGGCGCTCTCCTTACTATTTCTACCCCTTCATGAGGCCAGGTCGCCGCTCATGAGGCCAGGGGGCCTGACAGTGCTCCACCAAGCCCTGCCCAAAGTCAGAGCCAGGGAATTCCTGTAACCCCAGAGCTCAGGAGGCTGAGGCAGGAGGAGCTCCACGAGTTGAAGGCAAGCGTGGGAGAGACCTGTCTCAAAAAACTAAAGTGGTAAATAAGGAAGAGTCACTGCAGCACACGCATCACCATCCCTGCAGTCTGTCACTTGGGATGACCCCACCGTCCCCTCTGTGCTGACTGCTGTCTCCTGCAGGCCCTGGTCTTGGAGCTGCTACAGGAGGCCATGGCTGCGAGGCTCAGCGACACCCGGGGCTTCCTGATCACAGGCTTCCCGCGGGAGCTGAAGCAAGGGGAAGAGTTCGGCCGGAGGGTGAGGAAGACATGGCCCGGCTCTGGGTTTGAGGTCCCCCTGGGGGGGGGATTCTCACTCCCCACCCATCGCTTCCCTAGAGACACAGAGCCGAGGCAGGAGGGCCTCCGATCTGAGGCCAGGCTGGGGTGGGGCCGCTGATATAGGGCCTCACACTCCAGAAAAGAAGGTTCAGCCCGGTCTTTGTGCTCGGATCCGCCCGGCTCTCTCTAATGACTTACTGGGGTGGCCTCAGTTTCCCCCTCTATCAGGCATAGATTCCGCCTCATGGAAATGTTTTCATTCCCTGTGAGTCCAGAAAAGGCCCAGGGTTTCGCCATCTGCTCCCTGTCAGGGAGCCACTCAGCCCTGCGTGATGGGAGGCTGAGGCAGGAGCTTAGTGAGACAGTGTCTCTAAATGAAGAAAATGGGTTGGCACCGTTGCTGCAAGGGAAGACCCTGGTGAAGCCCCAGTGGGGGGAGGGGGATTGTTGACTGACTCTTCATGGAGGCCACAGCAGGGACAGGAAGAGTGGCGTCGAACACCCCAGAGACCCCCAATAGAAGGTGTGCCCACGCACCTGCCTTTCGAAAACTTGGTTTGTTTTGTTTTGAGACAGGCTCTCAATATGCAGCTCAGGTGGCCTTGAGCCCCCTTTCTAGCCCAGGCTGGCCTCGAACTCATGACGCACCTGCTGCCCCAGCCTCCAGTGCGGAGTGGGCCCAGGGGCGGTCACAGGCGTGGGCGCCCAGTCGCGCTTCACTGCAGGAGCCTCTCACTGGTGACTGCCGGGCGGATCCTCCTGGGCAGAGCACGCCCTCTGCTGGCCGGCATGGGCAATGCGCACCCCGCAGCTCCGGGGACAGGACAGAGAGCACCCTGCCTGCGGCCCTCAGCTGCCCGACGCCCTCCCTCGGTCCGGGACAACCAGGATGCAGTCCTGAGCCAGAGCCTCCTTGCAGCCAGCGCGGGGCATGCAGCCGGGGCACAGTTACTTTGTCCCACACTCCCAGGGACGAAGGGACAGTTAGGAGGGCTGGCCCGGGCGTGGTGGCGCACGCCTATTACCCAGCACTCAGGAGGCTGAAGCAGAAAGGTCGTTGAGGGTCCAAGCCCTCCCAGGACATCGCGGAGCAGACCGCCTGAACATGTCCTGCTCTGACCCCTCCCAGGTCGGGGACCCCCACTTGGTCATCTGCATGGACTGCTCGGCGGACACCATGACCCGCCGCCTGCTCCAGAGGAGTCCGGGCGGCGCGGCCTTGGAGGACGCCACCAAGACGGTGGCCAAGCGCCTGGAGACGTACTACCGGGCCTGTCTGCCGGTCCTGGCTCACTATGAGGGCAGGACGCAGCTGAGGAAGGTGAGCCGAGGCCCTGCGCACCGAGGCCACGGAGCAGGTGCTGTGGGCGTGGGGGGGGGGGGTCAGAGCTGCAGGATTAGGGTGCCAAGTTCGAGCCTAGCCTGGGCAACTTAGTGAGAGGTGCTATGAAAACAAATAACTTTAAATATTTTTTAAATGGAAAAAAGATAAAATTTCATAAGAAAATAATAGTTAATGCACTGCATATTGTTATCTTTAAAGTAGTTACTCAGAGTGTAAGATAAGGGCATAAAAATTTCTCCAATCATTCTGTGAGCTGAGAGCCTCTACTAGTACACCCGGCTTGCGGACTTGCCCCTCCCCCTCCGCTCCTTGCCTGCCCCCCCATCCTAGTTCCTTTTTCCTTTTGAAGCCTTTCTTCCCATTTCACAGCATGTTACGAGTTTTGCATCTTATTGGCTCTTCCAGCTTCTCACACCAGGCAGACAACAGTGTGTATACATGCGAGGCTGATTTATGTCACTAATGAGTGTGGTCTCACATTGCGTCATTTACCTGTAAAAGTCTCAACTTTATCCTTTTTTTTATGTATTTAGTCGCACTACGCCGTTCATACTCATAGTATCCTTCTGTTTTCAGCCTCCCCAGCACTGGGTAGCACTCCATTATATAAAAAGACCGCATCTTTTTTATCCATTCCTCAGTTGATGGGCACTTGGGTTGTTTCCAAGATTTAGGTATGACAAATTGTGCTGCTATAAACATGGGTGCACATACACAGGTCCCATGGGACCTTTAATCCTAGTTTTCTGAGGAGTCTCCCACTGATTTCCACAGTGGTTGTACCAGTCCACACTCCCACCAACAGTGCAGAAGGGTTCCTCTCCCCACAGTCCCTCCAGCATTTGTTATCTTTTGACCTTTTTTTTTTTTTTTTTTTTTTTTTGCGTAACTGGAGAATGAACTCAGGCCCTTGCACTTGCCCGGCAAGCGCTTATCCTACTGAGCCATCTCCCAGGCCCTCATTTGACTTCTTCATGATAGCCATTCTTTCTGGGGTGAGATGGAATGTCAGTGCTGTTTTCATTTGCACTCCTTAAATGACCAGGGATATTGAGCAGTTTTTCATATTTATTTGCCATTTATATTTCTTCATCTGAAAATGGGTATCAAGGGTATTCATCTTGATGCCCTTTGAGATGGTGTCGTTGAATTTGGGGAGTCTGACGTTTTCAGTTCTTTATATGTCTCAATAGAAGTCCTCTGTCTGAGGGACACTTGGGTAAAATTTTTTCCCCACTCTGTGGGTTTTTCTTTTCACTTGGTGATTTCTTTTGATGTGCAAAAACATCAAAATAAATAATTTCTTTAAATGGCAAGGGGTGCAGTTCAGTTTGAAAGCTCTCAGTTCATATCTCCAGTGCTGAAGGAAAAAAATAATTTAAGTTGAGCCAGGTATGTAGTTCAGTGGCATAAGCACCTGCGTGGCAAACACAAGGTTCTGAGTTCAATCCCAGGTACTGAGTAAAAATTTATTAAAAACCAGGGGTGGTGGTGCACGCCTATAATCCCAGCACTCAGGAGGCTGAGGCAGGAGGATCACTGTGAATTTGAGACCAGCCTGGGCTACAAAATGAGCTCAAGGCCAGCCTGAGCTACACAGTGAGACCCTGCCTCAAAAAGACAAAACAAATAAATAAAAGTGGGGCATATACTTGTATGCTTCGTGACACTGTTATACTTGGAAAAGCTCCTTTTTCCCAAAAAAAGCAAAAAGGGTGGGAGAATGAAGCGGGCTGTATCCCAGACTCGGGCGACGCTTGACCTCGGCTGGACAGAATCACCCACAGGCTTCTTCTGGGTCCAACATCCAGTGCCTTTTAATTCAGGAGGTCAGCAGCATTCACGGCTGGCCCTTGACCCTTCTGTGCATCATTTTCTTGGGTACTTTTGTTTTGAAAGGCTCTCACTATACAATTTAGGGGCTGGCCTTATACACACTACATTGCCCAGCCTGACCTCAAACTCACAGCGATCCTCCTGCCTTGGCCTCCCCAGTGCTGGGACAACAGGCGCGTGCCACCATGCCAGGCTTGGAGGTCAGTTTTTCTCAACTCATGTCACCTCAGAGTGGCATCTGGTCCTTGGACCCTTGCAGGTTCACACTGGGTCACCGAAGACCTGCAAGCCTGTCAGCGGGTGGCACAGGGGCTCAGGGAGGAGAGCGGCATGCCCGAGAGCTACGCGGCAGGGCTTTGTCTTCAAGAAGTCCCATTTTCCTCCTCTCCTCTTTACCTGTTCCTCTAGTCTGGCTTGTTATTACGAGCAACGTTTTTAAGTTTCTCTGAGTCACCCAGAAGTTGTGTCTGGCTGCAGGTCCACATTTAGCTGTGACCCCCGGAGCTCCCACTGGGGATGGAGCCTGGAGCCTCCTGCGTGCGCCTCCATTTTCAGACACTAGTTCCCGACTGGTTTATTTGTTTTTTATTTGGAGACAGGGTCTCCCTAAGTTACCCAGGCTGGCCTCACACTTGGAGCCCTCCTGCCTCAGCCTCCTGAGAGCTGGGATTACAGGCGAGCAGCACCACGCCTGGACTCTGGCTTGAGCTGTTTTTAAATAACACTGCTGCCTGCCTTTCTTCAGAAGCAGCCCATTCTTACATTTCCACACCAGGCCCTGAACTGGTGTGCAGCAGAAAGAGGGTGAGCCACGTAAGTACAGTCGTCTGAAATTCCTGGCAGCCACAGTGAAAAAACACAGAACCCGGTGGTGCTGGCTTTGCAGAGTGCCTGAAATGTCTGAGCAGAGCCTCGCGGCACTCAGGGACACATGTGGGGCGGCCCTGGACTGCGGAGCATGTCCGCAGTAAGCCTTACTCCCATATTATTATGCTGCTGTCTGCTTTTAGGAAAAACACCGAATTGTCTTGAGCGTCGCCCGCGCAGGCATCAGCCCAGCTCTGTGGCCGACAGTCCTGATGTGGCGCTCTCCCGAGGGCGTGTGCTCTATTACCCGTGTACTCCTTCCACCTGAGGCTGCTGTTCTCTTCAGTCCAAGCCTGTGCTCATTTCATGACTTTCTGTGCTTATTTCATGCAAACTGTGTCCTCTCATGTACTGTTCATGACTGCAGACGAAGCATCCAGTGTCCTCCTTTGTATCTGTCATTTTTGTCATAGTTATGTCTTCATTCTCTACATTCACCAAGAGAAAGTAAACTCCCAGCTGCAGGAACAATGCCTGCCTCATTCATCCACCATGGGCAGGTACAATGGCACACGCCTGTGATCCCAGCCCAGTGGGAGGCTGAGACAGGAGGATCATGAGTCAGAGCCCAGCCTGGGCCACTTAGTGACTTAGTGAGATCCTGACTAAAATTTTTAAAAATAAAAGGATTGGGGAGGTAGCTCCCTGTGAAGGCCCCGGGCTCAATCCCTAGTACTGCAAATAGATAAGAAATAAGCCAACTGCCATCATTTGGCACCCAGGGCTGGTGCAGCCTCAGTGGCCCAGGATGACACAGAAGGCCTGGAGCCACCAGGGTGGGGTGCTGAGGTGCCCCTCCAAAGAGGCCCCAGTCCTCATTCCTGGCTCTTTGGGGATGGCCAGGTCAGCACCAGGCACCTGAGCAGGGACTCATGGCCACCTGGCACAGGTGTGGGCTCTGTGGGGCAGCCCAGGGACAGTGCAGGAACATAGCCTAGGGGCGAGCTGGGCCTGCACACAGGCTCTGCATTGATCCTTCTGCGTTTTACTGGTGACAGGCAAGTCACAGAAGGCAGCCCAGGCTTAGGGGAGATTGATGCCACCTCTTTTGTTCATTATCTAGTTTTCTGAGACAGGGTGTCACTATGAAGCCTCGCTGGGCAGCACAGGCTGGCTTCAAACTCACAGCAGTCCTCCTGCCTCAGCCTCCTGAGCACCAGGATTCCCTACGGGTGCCACTACACCCAGCTGGTACTGTTTCTTGATGGGTGGGTGGCAAGGCATCTTCAGGAGGCACCAGGACTCTTTGGAGACCGTCGCTGCTACATCTGAAGGCTCAGGGTAGAGGGCGGATTTTGTGGCCCTCAGGTATGTTCCCTCCATTGCTACAGTATTGGGCCGGCTCAGATCTGCCCTGGAGGCCAAAGCGGGCTGCACAGCACAGGGAGGGTTCCCACGTCGCCTCAGGCTCCCGAGGCCCCTGGGTTTGTGCTGGGCCCGGCCACGGGGCGTTCACTAGTGGAGCCCTGGTCCTGCAGCGGCTGAGCTGGGTCTAGGCAGAGCGAGTGGTTCCTTCCAAGAGGAAGGGAAGAGGGCAAGGGGAGGTGCAAATAGAAAAATCAGTTTCCTTGATTCATTTTCTGGCACCCACCACCTACCCAGAGCCAGGTCCAGGGCTAAGCAGTGACCTCGTCCTCACCTCTTCCTGTCTCTGAACATTGACAGTGGCCCTCTGTTGGACCAAACTTGTGCCTCCGGCAGGAGGGCAGAGCTTATGGAAGGTGATCGGCTCTTGACTTGCTAGGAGGCAGGGCCTTTTGGGGGCCCTGGCAAGGAGCAGCTCTCCTCTCCTCCACCAGTCCCTCTGCCGAGCTGGCATCCCTTGAGCCAGCAGACTGTAGACCGAACATGAGCCTAAAAAAACTCGTCTCCTTTAAAGGGAAGGCATTGGGTCTTTTTGTCCCTGCTATGGGAAATGAACGAAACAGGCTCTAGAGCCTCCTCCCAGGGCCATCCCGGTACTTCCTTATAAACAGTGGGGTTAACAAGGCTGCCTAGTCAGCAAGGCCGGTTCTTCACCTCCCCCTCACCCTGCTGATGCTCAGCATGCCCGCAAGCTTAGGTCAGTGATCTCCCTTCCTCCTGATGTGACCTCTTAGTAACTAACCCACAAGCGCTACCTGCTTCCTACCATGAGGCCCAGCCCATTGCTGTGGCCCCTGGACCTGTCGAAGTGGCCCTGCCTGAAGTCATCGTTTCGGTCCTTACTAAGACTCACTGAAGGCCGGGTGTCCGGGCACACACCTGCAATCCTAGCATGCAGCAGGCTAAGGTAGAGGGATCCCTGTGCGTTCAAGGCCAGCCTGGGCTACACAGTGAGTTCAAGGCAAGCCTGAACTAGAGAGAGGGGCTGTGTCTCAAAAACACAAAAAGGACTGCATCACTAAGACCAAAAAGCTGTATTACACACAGAAAGTCTGTCCTGAACCAGAGCGCTGATGTGGTCCCCTGCCACAGGCAGGGATGGTGACATCCCTAGTGCTTGCAAACCTAAAGTTAGTTTACACAAAAAAAAGATGTAGGTAGATAACAAGAGCTGAACAAATTGTCAAGTGTTTCTCAATAGTGTTGTCCAGAATTGCTCTGAACAAAATCATTTAGGATGTTTTTTATACAGTGGACTACTGTTCAACCATAAAGAAGGATAAGCTTGAGGTATTTCTAGCTAAATGGCTATGCCTTGAGGCCATACTGTTAAGTGAAATTGACACACGTGTATGCACACTGCAGCATTTCTGTGGTGTGAGAACTCACAAGGGTAAATAAGGACCCAAATTTATGATACCAGGAAATCCAAAGAAAATGTCCAGGTGGGGAAGGAGAGAGGGAGGGATAAAGAAGGGACAAGAAAAAGAATAGAAGGAGAAAACAGAAACCAAGCTTTTGTAAATAAAGAGGGAAAGCATGCCTGGAGGGAGGGGAGGGGAAAGGGGGGAGAAGAAAGCAAGATATATCATGTGCCTGGACAGATTCCCTGTGATGAAATGATCATTTTGTATATCTAAAATGTACCAATAAGCCAGGCATGGTGGTACACACCTGTAATCCCAGCACTCAGGAGGCTGAGGCAGGAGGATTGCCATGAGTTCGGCCAGCCAAGGCTACAAAGTGAATTCAAGACCAGCCTAAACTATATAGCAAGACCCTGTCTCAAAAAAAGAAAAGAGAAACCCACCAGGAGAAGCGTCCCACACCTCAGATTCAGCCCTGCGCAGTCGACTCCGTGGCCCTCTGGCGACGGGGCTTGGCAGGCTCGCCTGATTGTTTTCGGCTGCGCAGTCTTTGCACATGGAATGTGTGAAGTCTCGAAGCCAGGACCACCTGCGCTGAGCACTAGCCAAAGCTCCACCCACTGCACTCTTTTATTTATTTCTTAAGTGGTGTTACAGGGGGAGCCCAGAGCTAAACACTGAATCCTCGGCTCAAAACGAAAATGTCTGTAAATTTTGAGGAAGGATTCGAAGTTGAGATCCCCCACTCCAGCCTCCCAGAGACCCAGAATGACTGTGTGCCACCAGCCCACCTCCAAAAGCTGAAGTTTAGAAACCCCTTGGAATTTCCAGCTCCCTCAAGCCCCGGTTCCTCAGGGACCCCGCAGGGCGTGGGCAGCCCCGAGGCCAGCAGCAGCAGCAAGTGGTGTGGACAAAAGGCCGGGACTGAGGATCCCGGAGTGCCTGGGTCCTGAGGGGTAATTGTGGTTCTGGCCCCATCTTGGATGGGTTCTGCTGTTACCCACACCTGCCCGGGTCACACAGACATGGGGCAGCATAGATGTGCAGCCCCCAGACACCCACAAACGTCCTTGATCTGTCGTCACACACTGCCATCCGCCACCCTGGATGGCCAGGCCCCCGTCTTCCTAACGGGGTGAACGGAAACCTCGGCTGGGCAGCGCTCTGCCTCCGACCTCCACCAGTGGCCTCTGCTTTTCCCTCTGTTAGCACTGATTAACTGACCGGGTTTTTGGAGTCAGGGTCTGACGATGCAGCCCAGGCTGGCCTTGAACTCACTGTGCAGCCCAGGCTGGCCTCACTCTCAGGAGCCTCTTGCCTCAGCCTCTTCAGGGCTGGATTCCAGGTGCGTGCCACCACACCGACTCACTGAGCATGTCACGCGTCTTCTTCCTTGGGGCTTCAAGCCACCAGGACACATAGCCCTCATCTCCCCTGCACCAGGCGATGACCCAGCCGAGCTGCTGTGACCGTCCTGGGAGCTTCCACTTGCCCGGAGCTGGCAGGAGCCCCGCCGCAGGCACCCGGGACACCCGCAGTCCAGTCCTGCCCTGCCGGCACTGCCTCGTCTGCCTGCCCAAGGCCCATGACAGACTCATCAAGATGGAAGGGCAGAGCTGAGGCCCACCCTTTCTGAAGTCACTGGGTGACTCCAGTGCAGCCTGACCCTGGGGGCCACACTGTGCAGCGGGCACAGGGGGCCTGGCCCGACCCCTCCCCACAGCCCTGCCCAGCACGGGGGCTCTCAGCACCCTGGAACTGCCCCAGCCCCGCCCTTGCACCTCCCCGCTTCTCTGACAGCCCCGATCTTCTCCTCTTGCTATGGGCACATTTCAGGTGACGTGGTGACTGCACTGGGCAGAGGTTTGTGGCCAGATGTGGCACCCCATCATGCCTTTCCGTTCCCTATCTGTAAATGCCCGGTCTCTTGTCCTTTCGCCTTCTCCCTTCCCTGGTTCCCCCTCCCACTTGAACGTGTTCTTCCCGTTTCCCCTTTCAGCCCTTACTTACCCTTTCGGGTTCTCACGCAGAGAAACAGTGCAGTATTCACACATGCATCCAATTTCATAATATGGTCTCAACTATTTAGCAAAAAAATGTCTCAAGCTTATCCCTTGAATTTTTTTTCTAAATTTTTTGGGTATTTTTAGACAGTGTCGCTATATCTGCTGTACCATGGATTATGTCCCCTTTTCTGGTGGCTTTGTCACTTAGTAACTGCACTCAAGTTCCCCAAAGACTCCTCATGGCCTGCTGGCTTTTTCTAGCACTGAGTAGTCCAAATAACGTGAACGCTTGCATGGACTAGCTTGTTGAAATAGTGAGATTTCAAGTTTTGTCGATGCACAAAGCCACTGTGAACATGCACAGACGTGGTTGTGTAGACAGCAGCTTTTAATGCCAAGTCCTATGACGGCAGCATGGGACTTCAAGAATGTGCAGAGAATCCTTTCATGGCTGCATCGTTTTGTAATTTTTTATTTTTATTGCAGAACCGGGGATTAAACTCAGGCCCTTGGGCTTGCCAGGGAAGCACTTATTGCACTGAGCCACCTCCCCGGCCCCAGCACCTGTAATTTTATTTTTTGCTTGCTTTTTTCTTTTTTGGCAAACAGGATCTCACTACGTAGGCCAGGCTGGCTTCAAACTCGCAGGATCCAGCCACCTCTGTCTCCTGAGTGCTGGGATGACAGCGCGCACCCCCACGCCCAGGCAGCAGCCACACAGCAGCATCTGCCTGCGCCCCACCCCACCAGCACCTGTGCGCCAGGATGGTGGGCCGTGCTCTTCTGATGAACACGCAGCGATTGTGCACTGCTGTGTAATTCAGATGTCTAATTTTTAAACAATTTCTCTGCCTTTATCTCCTAGTTGTTTCTTTTTTTTTTTTTTGGTGGGGGGGTGTTTTTTTACGCTTTGCTGAACAAAAGCAGGTAAGCTTTATTATTAAGTCATTTACACTTGTACAGCAATTAACCACTAAGAAGAATATATGCAGTGTTATTTGTTGAAACTGTACTTCCGATTTGATCTGAAACTGTCTCATTGCTGTTTATCAATAAAACTTTGAAAAAAAAAAAAAAGTCATTTACAAAACTAACTTTCTCTGCATGACTGTAATCCTAGCGCTTGGGAGGCCGAGGCAGGACTCCACGACTTCAAAGCCAGCCTGGGCCACACAGTGTGTTCAAGGCCAGGCTGAAATGCATAATGAAAATGTCTCATAACACAAAAAAGAAACCAAACTTTGTTTTCCTTTTAAATATAGATAAACGCGGAAGGAACACCAGAAGAAGTTTTTCTTCAACTCTGCAAGGCTATTGACTCTATTTTCTGAAGGTGGGAAAGCATGTACAGAGTGGAGACAAAGGAACGCACTGAACCGTCCACCCCTTAACACCGTCTGTGTCCCATGCCCCCAATCCCGCCCGCGCTGTCTGCTCCCCCTGGGCTCCTGTGGGAGATGTCCTGGGCCAGGTGTGGCGCAGCAGGGGCTGTGAGCCCTGTCCCCAGGCCACCACCGCAGCTGTCCTCTGCCGTAGGTGCCAGCGCGGTGCTGTGAGCGCACCCCAACTCCTACTAGTCGTCGTCTGGTTTGGTCTCATCGGAAGGGGGCCAGCACCGCAGCGCCACCACACCCCCTGCTCCTCCCAGGATGCCCCACGTGGGCAGGCAACAGGCTGCCACAAGCCAGCCCTGTGTGGAAGAAACTTCCAAGTGGGAAACAGCATAGGTCCTCCAAGATGGCAAGACCCAGGCTGGTCACCAGTCACCTTCTCTTCATTTGTAGGACGCTAGCTACTGGGAATACTGTCTGGCTAGGAGCACAGGCGATTGTGAGATGTGGGCTCCTCTCTACCTAGTTCTGTGTTTCAGCGATCATAAATTAATGTCAGTGACTAAGAGTAATTCAGAGCATGAGGTGATTTGTCATTTCACTCAGTGGACAAGTGCCATCTCATCGGTGATCTTAAATGTCCACCCCTTCGCCATCCAGCTGGTGACCAAAGGTGGGCGCAGCAGTGAGCTGCCGCGGGGGAGGGGCGCGTTGCACGAAGCGGGCAGCCGAGGCCAGGGCTGCCTGTCTCACCGGCGGTTCCGGGCGGCGCAGGCTTGTGGCACACCAGGCAGATCTGGGTCTCTTTGTGACATCCGTTGTGAAATCAGAGCTGCTATGTCTTCTGGAAATGACCGCAGTGTTCCCTCAGCCACCACAAGAGACCGTGGCTTGAGCTTGCATGATTTGTTTTTCTTCAATCATTGTGAAATAAGGACCCATTTCCAGGTCAGGACTGTATTTTTAAAGGCTTTTTTTCTTGAAATGGATATGTACAAATAAAATAAATGGAAGACAGGATAACTCTTTTTCTATTTATTTGTAACTCACATCATTCTGGAAAGCATTTGAAGCTTTATTCCAAACAGAAATTAGAAGCAAACACAGTAATAGCTGAGATTTATGATCCATGAATATGGTTTTGATTTTGGCAATAGACCAGATTTGAACTATTACAGAGAGAATTCTTAACGTGTTCACGATACATGGTCATTTTTATATTTCTTTTTCTCGCATTCATTCTTGAAACAGAAATGTCTGTTTTTCCCTACAGAAGAGATCAGGTTTCTTTGGTTACAGTGATGCCTCTGTGAACACCAAGGATGCGGCCCGTTCACAGCCCTCGCACAGCTGTCGGAGGATCTCAGTAAAGGAGAAAAGCACGCGGGGCACAGGACACAGTGCGACCCCCCAGGGCCCGGCGGGCCCTAGTCACCGCTGGGCCGGGCTGTGCAGTGACACTTCGGTGGCTGGCAGGGGCCCCACGCTGGCACAGGCACAGCAAGCCCTGCCCAGGACACCAGGACACACGTCACCAATTTGCATGGCCTGAAATGACATCACCATTTCTGGCTAGCAAAAGGCCAGGTGTGCACACTGGCGAGCCCACATCGAAGTGAGTGGCTGCACAAAGCGTTCACAAACGTCTAGCCGGAGCCACGCCGGCTGCAGCAACGTGGCCTCAGGGAAGCGCCGGCTGCGCTCGCTCAGGGTCCTGGCCGTGGGTCCCTACCTCCTCCAGTTACTGATCTAAAATGATGCCGTCCCCCTTCCTCCCTTGCAGGGTCTATCCCTGCCTCAAGGTAAGCGGCATGTGAACGGTGGCTGCCGCCCGGCCTGTGAGCCCTGGAGGACCCCACGTGCTGCAGCGGGCGCTGCGCTATGCGACTCCGCTTTGTGTTTCCCTCTGGACAGGAGACCCCGAGTCCTTAACGTCACAGGAGCTGTGGAGATGAGACAAGTGAGCAGGGCAGGGAAACCAACGAAAGGTAGCTCCGTCACCCTCTAACGAGTGCTCACTCCTGCGACTGGGGCGTGGGCTGCAATGTCCACTCCAGAGTCCTTGCCACTAGGTCACTAAAACCGAGACACATGCCTGGCTCAGCTGCCCAGGGTTAGCCCCGTGCCCCGTGAAAAGGCAGGACGTGGCTTCCTGGGAAGGGGTCTCCCAGCCAGGCCCCCAGGCTGCCCACACAGGCACACAGGGGCTGTTCCCAACTTGAGAGAACAACTCACTACCCACCGGCCAGACACTGACAGATACTTAGGGGGCAGCTCCAAAAAGCCAGGCCCAGCCCGACAGCGGAGGTCTTGGTCTCCACACAGTTAAACGTAACAGTTGCTTCACTGCGGAAACGGGGAAGAATTCTGGCTTTTACTGGGATCCTAGCAAGAGCAGTACATTGTTCATCAAGGTAAGAAATAAAAACACATTACAGCCCCAAAGGGTCCACGCCTCCATAACCTTGTGGGAAAAGCCACTTGGAACCCTGCTTCATCCACAGGACCCAGAATAATGGACTTTAAACTCAAGTTACCCCAGGCAGCAATAGTTCATTAGACGCCACGCGTACACGCTCACAACTGAGATTTCACAAAACAACACTCATCATTACTACATGTACTGTTTTCTCTATATCTCATGTTTAAAAACACGTTCCACACACCTCAGTAAACGGTGTTCTATGGTTGATCTGAAACCAGACAGGGAGGGGAGGAGTGGGTCAGGGCACACATCAGGCAGGGGCCTCACGGTGGCTCAGGTTTCTCCGTCCTGAAGGACATGGGCTTCATGGGCACTGGAGCGACCACGGCCGCTGCAAAGGCCCAGAGAGGCAAGGCCTGCACCCCTTGGCCACAGCAACCATCTCCGCGGTAGGAACTGTCCGGCCAGAGGCAAGCTCTTGACTACCTGACTACCTTTCTGCACAGGAAAGGTAATAAGGAGAACCGCCTCCAGGAGCTGCTGAGGACTCAGTTCATCACCGTCTGCTTCTGGCATCTGCTCTGATGGGTGCGTTTCATCAAAGGAAGCCTCTTCTGTCTAGACCTCAGGAAGTGTCTAAGGTGTTCTCAGGAGTCTCTGGGCATTATCAGGTACCCCAGCTGGGGCACAGGCTCGCAGCCCACAGATCTGACCCACACACAGCACTTACTAAGCAATGCCCTCACAAGCCCGCTGCTCCACCCTGCTGTCTCTTCGAGCACTCTTGGCTGTTGGCAAGAGACAGCCCACACCACGCCTGCCACCCTCCTCTCAAACACACAACCCCACATCACCGCTGCTGCCACAACACTGTAAGGCCTTTTCACGCCATGGGGACTATTTGCTTGGAGCTGAAAAGTTCAAAATAAACACATCTTCTATTCCAGCAGAAAATAACCCTCTCTGCCACCTACAAGTCTTAAAGTATTTGCCCTTGAAAAACATGTTCAAGTGGGCCCATTATGTTTCTTCTGATTCTAACAACTGTGTGGCTCGCAGGCCTCTTCCAAGCATACTCTGTACTTTCACGGGTTTCCCAATGGCTCAGAATGGCTCTCCAAAATCTAACTGGTATTATTTCCACAAAGACACAGAAGTCACAAGAAGTTGCCGGCAAGTGCTACGGTCCTGCCCAGCGACAAGCTGAAGTACCCGCCGGCATATGCACCTGGCGTTCAGTGGCAAATGGCTAGAACACTAACAACTCCTCCCTCCTGACTAAAATTCCAGGGAGAGAAGTCTACTAACTATTCTTTCTGATTATGATATATTGCATCAACATCTTAGTGATCTTTAATCAATATATTATGTTAAAATTCTCATAGTTCTATATTTAAAATTCTATTAATTTTAAAAAGGGCAAGGTAGACTTTAGTGCCCTGCTATGTGTTGAAGAGAACTAATAAATCATGTTCCCTAGATTTAAAAACAGGAAAAAAACAAGCAACTCTAAAAACTGGGTCAAGTACAATACAGTACACATAATCCATCTTAGAATAATATTTATACCATCTTACCCTGGTCAATAGTAACTTTCAGGAGACCCCTTCCTTAAACGCCTGGGGACTTATTTTGTTAAGAACAGCCAGAACAAACACCTCCAACTTAGGCTCTCATGCAGGGGCATTACTGGCTGCCTTTTCCCTAACCAGGTCCTGCTTTCTCCCCGGGGAGCCCACTTAGTGCTCCAGCGCACGCAGCGGAGAGCACTTCGTCATTCGCAGATCTGCTCAGGTTCATCCTCTTTTCCATAATACATTTTTTACTCTTCATAAAGGACAAAAAGAAATCCTTCATCTACGTAAAGCAGACTGTTAAAAGAAACAATTTCTGGTATCAACACTACTAAAAAATCCAAATCTGACCAAAGGAAGCAACGACAAGCATCTGTAACATAAACAGGCAGTGTCCACAGCATTTATTTCTCACAGTTCTCCTGACAGAGAAGCATCACTCAAGAGCACACTGTGTACACGGAGAAGAGGAAACATACAAAATGTTTTAAATGATGCACAACAAAATCCAGCAGTATAAAAGAATGCATGTGAACTCTTGCTCACTGCACAGACTAAATTTAATCACTTGTTTAAATAGTAATAAAAATACAATCTTTATGGATCTTGTTCAGACTACAAAAGAGGGAAATTATTACCATATATATGATTTTTATATTAGGCAGTTTTCTTTGATGAGTTGTATGGACAACTCCAAATACAGAGGCAGAAGTCTGTGTACTTTAAGAGAATTAATGTTGTGAATTAGACTTTTACACAGTTACTACCACTGGCACTTTTCACCATAGTTTGTACACATCACATGATCAACTTATATAACATTACATTTTAAAAATATATCTGAGTGACAATTTTATAACATTCACACACCATGAGCTGGTTAAGAAGCAATGCCACAGTTGCCTCCTGTAGTGCTTTGCTGTTGATAACAAGGACAGTTCATTGTGGTTAAAAGAAATCAGGTATCAATATGGTTAAGCAGCTCCCATTTACTAAAGGCCATTGATGACCACCACTGGACAGTGAGTTCTTTTAGAGTATAGATCCTAGAGGCAAACACCATCACTGGTTAAAACTTTGTCTAAAGTCAGTTTCTGTGCTGAAAACTATTTTCACAAAACTGAACGCTACTAAAGTGTTTGAATATAAATACTTCGTCTTCTTGTTATC